GGGGGGTGGGGGGTAGAAGTGGGTAATTTACATATAACTGCCCGGGAGTCCCTGGGTTTGGGTTTAGGTGTTCAATAACATCCATGACAATGCCGGAAGACCTGGCAGGATTCAAGTTACAGCTTATCAGACCAGCTTTTCCTGGGCAAAATGGATATGATTTTAAAATCAGTTGTAGATTGCTTCTCCCGCGAGTTCACAGTTATTACAGTATCTATATTAATGTGTTAGCTGTCTGTCACTTTCCTTCTTAGAATCTTTCACAGAGTAAAAGATGTTACTATCAGGCACTGCTTTTTCCGGATTATGTGTCCTTTATTAATTTTTCCTTATTGCTCTTAGTTATAACCTAAAAAAATACCCAAATATTTCTTCTAATGTCCTTTTAACTGCAGTATGGAGTATCAAATTGTTTCCCAAGAACATCCTTAGCTGTATACAAAAGTTGAACGTTTACAACTCTGAGTCTCTTGTCATAAACCCATTACACCAGTTCTTACTTTAGGCTTCTCTGGACTTGTTTTGATCCCCCCCCAGAGGAACAAATGCTTTGAAGAGCGTTTCTCTTGTCCTTACACTTGACCTGTCCTTCTACCCAGTGGAGGGTTTTGTTGTTTGTTTTTTCTTTTTTTCATATTACACTCATAGAAGGCATGTTCTATTTGGACTTAAGATTATTCTTTTTTTTTTTCGCAGCTGAAGGAATATCAGCAGAAGAATAACCCTGGAGCAACTGCAGGAACCAAGAAAAAACGCAAAACTAAAGAAGGCAGTAGACCCGAGACTCCCACCAATGATGACCAGCAGCCTCCAGAGAATGTGAGTGTCTCATTCTTTCTCAAATCCATTTGTTCTTTGGTTTCCTGAAGAACATGACCAGAGCCAGGAGAGGGTTATGTCGGTGTAATACACAAATGGCGTAGATGCCTGTACTGCCAGTGTACGAAGTGTGCTACGTTAGTTAGCACTACCTCTGCTGGAAGGTGGACGCTCGAGTCAGGGTGTCTGATCATACAGTGCTGTTGCGCAGCCCTGGGTGTGTCCAGAGCTGCTGTTTTGAGGTGCGTGCTCCTAACGAGCTGGAGGGTGCTGGTTTCTTCGGCTGCCTTTGATTGATATTTTTCTCTCTGTCCTTTTCTGAGCCGTTTCTCTTTCCCCTTTTCTTTCGCCTCCTTTAGATTCAGAACATTCTGAAGGTGCTGGTGTCAGACCTTAACCGCTCCAATGGGGTAGCCATACCCTCATTGGACAAGAGGAAGGTGAGGCAGTGCTCGCGTCCCTCGCAGTGACTCGCTCTCCCTACTGCATGCTTTGGGTTCTGTTTACACTGACCTCATTTTTTTTTCGGATGGAGCCTTGTCCTGACGTATCCACCATCAGTTGCTTGAGTTTTGTTGCTGTTTTTATTAACATGAAGCTATTTGTTAACATGCGTTTCCATTGCTCGTAAGTGCTTGTTTCCTTCTGATTTGTGTCAAATTTAACGTGTGAAAAAGTGAACCTTGTCAACAGCTCTCCCTTGAGACAGTTGAGCTTTGAGAAAAACCAGGAATTTGGGGTGAGGCAGTAAACTAACTGAACTGCTGAGGTGAACTGCAGTAGGAAGGGGTAGTGTTTTCTTAGTCTGTATTTCTCCTGTTCTGCGTGTCGTTGCTTTATTTCCTCGAGCCTTGGTTCTGAAGGGCTCATCTCCAGGCAAGCAGCTGCCCTCAGTGAGCTGTCTAGTTATTCCAGCCAACCCATTTTATGACAGGCGATGAAACTTGCACAGGTGATGTACAGTCTGGCAAGTACCATGGGTTTAAATATGTCAAATACTTCAAGTCAAGTGTTTACAGGCTTCCTCGTGTTCCCCAGCTTCTGAAGAGGAGAGGGCAGGAAGTACACCAATAAGCAATAGAAAAGTGTTCAGGAGCAAATGTAAACAAACAACCTTTTTAAAAAATTTATTTCCAGACAGTCAGTTTGTTTAAATAAGGCTCAAATTGTGACAGAAACTCAGGGAAGTAAAATTTTGTAGCCCAGAATTTTCTTGTTCAGTTTTGTTGTACCAAAGCTCTGCTTTTCA